CCCTAAACCCCAAGCTCCAAACCCCAAGCCCCAAACCCGATGGAGGGACCCTGGGCTTTCTCTGTCAGTGCGTAACCCGCTGAGGGTTTAGGGTTTAGGGTTTAGGGTTTAGGGTTGAGGGTTGAGGGTTTAGGGTTAAGATATAAGGGTTTGGGGTTTAGGGTTTAGGGTTTAGGGTCGAGGGTTTGGAGTTGTTTAGGGGTCTAGGGTTCAAGGTGCAGGGTTTAGGGGTTCCAGGTGTAGGGTTTCGCAGTTTAGGTTTTAGGGTTTAGGAGTTTAAGGTGTAAGGTTTAGGAGTCTGGGGTCTAGGGGTCTTCAGGGTTTAGGGTCTAGGCTTTGGGCCTTTATGATACCCCAAACCCTCAACCTTACACACCCTAAGTCAAACCCTCAACCCCCAAAGCTCAGGATCGTTGTGGCGTGGTCTGTTCTCCTCTGGCCATACGCCCTCAAGCCTAGGTGGGTAGTTACCGTTATAGGAGCCTTATAGAAGGTCTATATACCTTATGGAAGCCTTATAGGTGCCCTATATACCCTAAACTCCCCACCTGTAGTTTCCTTGAGTTTAGCCCAGGATGCCAGAAGCTAAACACCTTCAACCCAGTTAGTTGTGTCAGGGTCTTATGTAAACCCTAAGCCCTAAACCCTAAACGCAGCACACTAAAGAAGCCATAAAAAGCTCCTAGCCCTAAGACCCAAAGCCCTGAAGCGTACACCCTCAAGCTGCAAACCCCTGGCCAAAGCTGTTGGGATCCTCGGATCCTTAAACACCCCTAAACCCTAAAGTCTAAACTCTAAATCTAGGACATTTTCAGGTGGGTAGTTCCTGTTATGGGAGCCTTATGGAAGGTCTATAGACCGTATTGAAGCCTTATAGAAGCCCTATATACCCTAAACTCCCCACCTGTAGATTCCTTTAACTAAAGGCACCTCTGCTTGTAAATGCTTAGAAACCCAATTAGAGTACTCATAACCTTACTTACTTAAGTCTCCTCATCCTCCTGGTGGCTGAGGCTGTTCATGGATTGGATGGATGTCTCGGCAAGGGACTTTCTGTTCTTCTTCCTGCAGGTGCTTTTGGTTTAGGGTCCGGAGAGGTTTTGCTTTCACTAAGGGTTCAGGAATAACTGATAATAACATCACCTTCTACACCTTATGTGAATGTAACATTTAGTTTACCCAACACCCTGTTTGCTGAGGGTTCGATAGCGTCACATCTAGATGAGGCGTTCGATAGAATATATATATATATATATATACATATAGATATATAATACAGGGTATAAGATATAGAATATATATATATATATATATTTATTTATTTATGCAATATAGTATATGATCTACAAAGTTTAATTAACCTATAATAAGTTATATAAAAGATCATATTGTATATACAATATATAACATATATCATTGAAAATATAATACAGTATATACTATATAATATCTGTTGAGCACATAAGCACACCGAAAGTAAGTGTATGACAGCAGGTCCTTGCAGGAGCCCGGCTGCAGATTCCAGTTCCCTACATGTACACCAAGCCCCATAGAACGCATCCCTAAACCCTAAACCCTCTAAGCCCTGTCTGAGGTGGTTGTCTTGGCTCCCATCTTGGGTATGCTCGTCGGTTGGGTCGGCTACGCGTGGATGTGGTCCGCGTCGGACAGCCACAGCTCCGTCCACCTGGTGGTGCAGACCTGTGTGACGATGCTGCCTTGACGAAGGGTAGCCCACAGTGACTCTAGTACCCCTTAATATAGGGGCCTTGACAATTAGAATAGGGTCTTGGGGCCCATTCTACTATAACTATAATAAGAAAACCACAAAATAGTATTGGTAATTATCTAGGCTCCTATATTACTTCTCCAACATACTTTAAGACATCTTGGGATCCCTGTCCTGTGTAATAAAAGCCTGAGGACACTATGAGGGTCAGGTTTGTGGGTTTAGGCTTCAGGGTTTAGGGTTTCGGGTTTAGGGTTTAGGGTTTAGGGTCTTTTGCGCTTGGGCATTAGGGACCCTGTGCCGAAAAAACGTCCGGGACACAAGGCTCGTGGACCCTAAACCCTAAGCCCTAAACCCGAAAAAACGTCCGGGACACAAGGTTCGTGGCCTTCTTCTCCTTCTACATCTCTGAGATGGAGTCACTATTCTGCCGTTTCGTCCTGCTTTGTGCAGGGTAGGGTTTAGGGTTTGGGGTTTGGGGTTTAGGGTTTAGGGTTTGGGGTTTGGGGTTTAGGGTTTAGGGTTTGGGCCTCCCGGTTCTGGGTGCCAGGCTTCTGGAATGCTGCTTGTAGAATCTCGTGGGCTGGCTTGCGGCTTCTCGGAACATGCTCTCGAGGGGCTGTGTAGCTTCTACCGGGATGCTACCGAAAGGCCGAAAGGTAGCATGACCCTAAACCCTAAACCCTAAACCCAAAACCCCTAAACCCCTAAACCCCTAAACCCGAAGCCCCTAAGCCC